GGAGGGACTGGGGACAAGGGATGGAGGGACAGGACAAGGGGGAGTGGCTTCACAGTGAAAAGGAGTGGGTTTAAATATTAGGAATAAATTCTTCCCTGTGAGGATGGTGAGGAGTTGGGACAGAATTCCCAGAGAAGCTGTGGCTGCCCCTGGATCCCTGGAAGTGTTCAAGGCCAGGCTGGAGCACCCTGTGCTGGTGGAAGGTGTCCCTGCCCATGGCAGGGGGTTGGAACTGGGTGATCTTTAAGCCCCTTCCAACCCAAACCATGGCGTGACCTATAAAAACTCTGATTTTACAGGGAAGACAGAGATCCCCACGTGCAGTCACACACTCAGTGTTTCCAGGAACGCTCCTTTCCTGCCACAAGCCCTGAGTTTCTGAAGGCACATCATGACACTGATGGGAAAGTCACCCCGAGTACAAGAGCACAGAGTTCCAACTCCGGGAACATCTGACCATGGTGAAAAATGTGCTTCGAGCTGTTATCCCACAACACTCCCCTGGTGTTTGGAGCATTCACGGGGAACTTCTAGAGAAAGGAAAACTACCAAGATCTTCAAGCAACAATCCCTTCTTGTCAGATGAACAAAGAGATCAATATATTTCAAACACTGCCTCTGCCACAGCGTTAAATTAACGCCGAATTATCCGCAAGTTGGAAGGAATAACAGCCAAGGAGCCAGAATGAGACACGATCCAGGAAAGTTCCTGTGCTTCCAGTAGCACTCAGCTCTTCAAAGTGTGTGTTGGGAACCGGTCTGTCACAATCACACACGTAACCTGGATGTGTTTCGTTGTAAGCCCTGTTAAAAATATTTAAACCCGAGATTTTGTCTGGGTATGTATTTATAAACAGGGAAAAAGCTGAATTACAACTGGACAGACCAAACAGAGTGTTTGGTGTGAGGAAATTCAGTGCCCAGGTAAATACAGAGCTGAGAGATCAGCACCACGTTCCCTTCCCTCCCTGTGTTCCTCTCCTCCTTTCACCCCTTCCTTGAGTTTTAACAGCATGGGCACCAAATTATTCCCTCTCCACAGTGGATGCTCTGTGTTCCAACAGGATCCTCAGCAATGGGCCCACTGGCAAAGTCAGTGAGCAGTTATTACAAATTTATGGAGTTCACAGGAGCACAAATTATGATTTGAACACAGACAGGGAAACAGGATTTGGAATGAAACATGTTTGAAGCCAGGAAACCAAAAAAAAAAACCAATGACCAACAGGGTTTGGGGACACCAGGATTTAAAAGTCTCACTGGCAAGTTCAGTTTAATCCTTAAAATGTATTTTGTCAACTACTCATTCTACTAATTTGATTTTTTTTTTCTCAGTAACTCATCAAAACTCCCTCTGAATTTTTGTCCTGTCGTATTTTGAAGGAATAACTTTGCCATCAGAAATCAAATTGTACATTTTCATTCCTCTCTTACTTCGCCATCCAAACAGTTACTAAAAAGAAAGAGGAAACTTTTCAACACAAAGAGGTATTAATGTATTATTAACTATTCCTTTAACTGACTCACAACACAGTCTATTTTTATTTGCCTCTGGGGGAAAAGGAAAAGGGGGAAAGGAAAAAAAAAAAAAAGGAAAGAGAACCAGAAGGTCTTGGAACTTTATGTAACACATCAATTGAAAGGTTGGTTTCTCACAGCTGGGACAAAACTGACACTTACTGGAGTTAATTTTACTTTCATTTACTGGGTTTCACTTTCAGGTGTTTGGTGCTGCTCAGCCCCTGGGAACTTTGCAAGGGGGGTGTTTACAAATAAGTGCCAGCCTGTGTTTATTCCAATTCCAGAACCATTTCCCTGCTTTTCCAAAAATGCAGCTGATTTTGGCTTCATCCAGGGGGACCCAAAGACTTGGGAGGCTCCAGAGTATTCCCAGTGTATGGACACGAGCAGGGCTGGCTGGGAACTGTGTCCCACATTTCCCCAGCCCTTCAGGGGGGGATTCCCCCTGAAAATCCCAGGGACAGGCCATGCTGGGGTGAATAAGGGGATGATAAAGTCCTATTTTCCTGGTGGGAAAGTACAAACCTGTTGTGAGGGAATGAAATCCACTGGGACCAGCAAAACCAGGGGACTCCTTTTTCCAGTCAGGCTTGGAGAAAACACAACCAATAGGCAGAATTTTACCTTTCTTCCCCAAAAGGGTTGAAAAGATGGATAAAAAAATCGGATTATCATTGCAATTCCACTGTGTGTTGTGTCACCTCGAAGAGCCAGCCCCAGATAACTCTAAATATAAAGTTTCTGTGGTGTTTTGAAGCCATCCATGGACTACAGTTCCCATAACCCTCCTCCTGAAGGGCCCACGGAGGTGAGGAAGGAAAAGCAGAGTATTCCCCTTCTCTGGATGATTTTTTTTCTCCCCTCACAAGGAAGGGAGTTTGCTCAGAGAGGTTTGAGGTTTTTTTTGGTGTTATTTCAAATAGTCTTAGAGCAATAAAGAAGTCTCACTGCATAAACATCAGACTTCTTGAAGTCTGAGTAGCAAAAAAAGTTATTACATAATTTTTTTTTTTTAAACAGATATTTCTTACCAACCTCTTGGTAAAAAAAAATAAAAGAGATGAAACTGTAAACTTAACAAATAATCTTTTGTACTGGGTTATAAAGACAAAAGCAGCAGTTCTCTGTAAATAATCCTATTCTACAACAACAGATCTATTTACAAAAGGATTTCAGAAGTTATACAAGTCTCTCGTGCTCCCTCAAAACAAAGGTATCAGAAAGTTCTTGCCTTCACTTTGGAGAAGAGCTCCTCAAATGTCTTTAAAAATTCCCATTTAAAGGCTGCACTTGCACCAGGCTGCCATTCTTACCCAGAAACACGAACTGGAACAACAACTTTCAACCTACAGTCCCACAGCCAGGGCTAAACCCACCTGAAATACAGAGGTCTTAAGAGGAATGCCCCAAAAGATAATGTAATTATAGCAACAAAAATTGCTTTTTTGGGGTACTGGTAGGTTCTGGTCTCCAAACCACCACCCATCTGAGCTCAGATGAAGCTGTAAAACGCCACCATGGCAAAGAAAGGTTCAGTTTTGGGGGGAGGGTGTGTGGAACTCCTCTCCTCACACCCCACATGAGCAGGTGGTCCAGTTTCAGGCACGATCTGAAGCCGTGGCACATGTCAGCAAATATGTCCTAATTAAAAGGCACTTTGCAAGCTCAGACAGGGCACGGTTTTTCCTGGACACCGGTGGTGTTGTGCTACTTTGTTTAAACTATCAACCAGCTTGCAGGAGTCACTCGGGGCCGTCAGGTGCTGCTTCCCAGTCCACACAACCCCCCAGACCTTAAAAACTGATAAAATCCCCGGGCCTGCCTCGTTATTTCCCACAGGGAGGAGAATCCTGCCCATACATCCACGCTGAAACACAGAACTCTTGGCTGCTATGAGGTAAAATTATCCCTGTTGTGGCTTCTCTGTCACTGCCCATCGTGGGGGAGGGGATTCCAATGACAAGTCCTAAATCCACCCAAGTATTGATGCAGGAACTGTAACAGTTCCTGCTCCTGTAACAACCCTCTGAGCCTGGAAACAATATTTAAACTATTGTCCTTTTGCCCTGCTGGTTCAAGAAATCTCTGCTTTTTATTCAGTTTTGAACGAGATACACTTGCTTTACCCAAAGAACATGGCAAAGCCATGAATTAAACTCGATAAGCTTCATAAACTTGGAGAGAATTTTTAATTTGCAGCAGAAAATGTAAATTTAACACTTCACACACATATTCGACTTCAGACTGCAAATAAAAACAGTCTAGTTCTAAATAATTCATGTAAGCCAAAAACATGAAGCGTAGCCTACAAAAGTATCTATATATACACACAGCAAATATATATAGATAATAGTTAACAAATACTAGCTCAGAGTTATTTCCAGTGTTATTATTCTAATTCTATAAAGTATAATTAATTTTCCAAAAATATCCAACCTACAGAGGTTGGGGGAGGGGGGCCATGGAGGGGAAAAAAAAAAAAAAAGAAAAAGAGAAACAAGTTTACCAAAACTTTTTAGGGCTACAGAGTATTTCAGGGAGGGAAGGTAAATTCTGCTTGGCTACAGGCATGGAATTCAACACTACCAGAAACCAAATGTTTGCTTATTTATCACCAGATATCATCTGTGTATTCTTCAACTCCACGCACCTCTCCTTAAGGAAAATGTAAGGAAATACCAACAAGACAATAAAAAAAGTTGTGGAGTTGTACAAATCCAGACCCCTGTGATACCAAATCCACCTAAGTGTGACTGCAGGGACCCCCTGGCAAAAGTTAACAGGACACTCTAGTTCAGATTAAACCAGGATGCCTGTCAAAAACACGCTTGTTGATTTATTCTGTAGCCAGATATTCTGCCCTTGTTAATTTTAAATAACAATAAATGTTTATTTCCCCCACGACTGGGGAGTAATAGGAGAACTAAATAAGAGCAGCAATGTAGATACAAGATCAAAGAACCCCTATGTGGTCCTTGGCCGGGCTGAACCCAAAACTTCAAAGCTGACCCGAGATTCAAAAACGCACCAATTTCGAAATTTCGAAATCCAGGACTTTTTAATTGCGTTTCGTGATTCCTCGGCGGCGGGAGGGAGCTGCGGCCGCTCCAGAGGAGCACCCAGTGTACCCGAGGAGGGCTCCAATTCCTCCAGCCACACAAAGCTCAGCCCCTACAGGGCTGCGACCAGCTACTAAAACATGGAATCCCAGAACCGCTGAGGCTGGAAAAGCCCTCCCAAGATCATCCAGTCCGCCCCGCGCCCGATCCCCACCGTGTCACCCGGCCCAGAGCACCGAGTGCCACCGTCCAGTCGTTCCCTGGGCACCCCCAGGGATGGGGACTCCGCCACCCTGCCCGGGAAGCGCCGGTGTGTCCCTGTGCCTGTGTGTCCCTGCGTGTCCCTGCGTGTCCCTGTGCTATTCCCAATGCTGCTCCCTCCTCCTCCTCCTCCTCCCCGTCCTCCCCACCCCCCACCGGCGGCATGACAGGCACCTCGCTCAGGTAACTCCTTCCCCATCTCCCCCTCCACCTTTGCCCACCTGCCCACCCTCGCAGGTGCCCGGGCCATCCCGACCCTGCCCTACAACAGGTGATGCTCCAAGTCCCGCCGCCCTCCCCGCGGCCGGCCCGGCCCGAGCCCTCGCACCCGCCCACCGCAGGGCGTTGCGCATAACACCGAGCGGCTCCGGGCGAGCTCCCCTTCCTCCAGCGCCGCCGCCGAGGCCCGGCAAGGCAGAGCCGCGCCGGGAGCGGGGAAAGGCCGCGGGGAGCGCAGGGGCGGGCGGGGATGGCTCCCGCTCTAAGATGGCAGCGGGAGCGCTGCGGCCCCTCCGCCGCGGGCCCGGGCGAGGCGGCCCCGGCTCGTCCCGCGGTGCGGCGTCTCACTCACCCGAGCGGCGGCTTCTCCCGGGGCGAGGCCTCCTCCCTTGGCGGGGCGAGCGGCCCGGGCGCGTCCTCCCGCTCTTCCCCCGCCCGGGGGCCTCGGCGGCGGCGGCGCCTCCTCCTCCTCCCTCGGGCCGCGGCGGTGGCCGCGCAGGGAAGGGGGGCGCGGGCGGCCCGGCGGGTCCCCGGCCGGGCTCTGGGTGTTCGCTGCCCTCACAAAATGGCGCGCGGTCCAAACCTGCGCAGCGCCCGGCGGCGGCTCGGCCTCGCCTCGGCTCGGCTGCGATCGGCGGCCTGAGCCCCGGCCGGGAGCGCGGGGACAGCGGCGGGGGGAGCGGGAGGAGGAGGAGAGGAGGAGGAGGAGGAGGAGGGGATGGGGGGAAGCGCAGCGCCGTACCGAGCCCCCGGGAACTCCTCGCTCCCTCCCTCCCTCCCTCCCCCGCCTGCCAGCCGCTACCTCCTCCCCCTCCCTCCCTCCCCGCCCGCTCCTCCTTCCCCTTCCCTCCCTCTCGCCCTCCCTCCTTCCTCACGAACCGGCTCCGCTTCCCGCACCGCCGCCGCCTCAGTCCCGTCCGCGCATCCCCGGCGGGACCCTCGGAGCGCACTTTTTTTTTTTTTTTTTTGCTTCCCTTTCTTTTTTTTTTTTCCTTTTCCTTTCGCGGTTGGAGGTCGAGACAAGGAGAAAGCGCAAAACAAAAGAGAAATTTAAAAAATAATAAAACAGTAAACCCCGGTATTCTGGCGGGAAAAGACAGCGCTTTGGTGTTTTGTGGTTTGTGGTTTTTTTTTTTTAATTATTACTTCTTTTTTTTTTTAAATTTAAAAAAAAACCCCAACTGACAAAATGGCGGCGGGGCGAGCCTGTTGCCACGGCAACTGTCAATCACCCGCGGCCGGGCGGGAGACGGCGCTGACGTGTGGAGGGAAGGGCGGGCGCTGCTCGCCATGGCAACGGCTCCTTCCCCGTTTCCCCTCTTCTCCCACCCCCACCTTCCCCTTATCCCATCCCTATTCCCGATCCATCCGCGCCCGCCCTCCGGCGTGTGACGGTGTCGGCGGCGCTGCGGGCCGGGATGGCCCCGGCGGGGCGGGGAAGGGCAGCGGCCGCCATTGCCGGTGAGGGGACCCCGCCCGCAGGGGGCGCCGGAGCCGCGGCGGCCGCTTCGAGGAGAGGCCGAGCCCGCCGGGGCTTCCCGCCCGCCCGGCGTGAGGGGAGGGACCGGCCGGGCTCGGCTCGGCCCCTCCGAAAACCGGCGTATTCCCCAAAAAAACAGTTAAAAAAAATGCAATAAGAGGAGCCCGCTGTGGGAGCCCTCGAGTTCCGGAGGGAAGGCGCCTTTCCTCTCGGAATTGCGTCCGGCGGGGTTTTTCTCCTCCCCCTCAGAAAAGGAGTTTAAAAATGCACTAAAATTAGCCCGGTGCGGGAGCCTCGGGCTGCTGAGGACAGGCTCCTTTCTCTCCTGAGGGAAGACGCCTCTCCTCTCGGAAATTGCATCCAGGGGCTCTTTCTCGTTCCCCTCAGAAAAAGAGTTTGAAAATGCACTAAAATTAGCCCGGGTTGTGATCCTAGGGCTGCTGAGGACAGGCTCCTTTCCCCTCGGAATTGCATCACGGGTCTTCATCCTCCCTCTCAGAAAATCAATATATGCCCCAATAAAAAAAAAAAAAAAAAAAAAAAAAAAAAAAAAAAAAAAAAAAAAACACAAAAAAAAATCATTTAAAAATTGCACTAGAAGTTTCCCGGTGTGGGAGCCTTGGGTTACTGAGGACAGGCTCCTTTGCCTCCTGAGGGAAGGTTCCTCTCCCCTTGGAGTTGCATCCAGGGGTCTTTCTCATCCCTCTCGGAAAATAAACGTATTTCCCAAAAAAAACATTTTTGGTTTGGGAGCCTGGAGCTGACGAGGGAAGGCTCCTTTCCCCCCTAGGAATTGGGTGCAGGGATCTTTCTCATCCCCTTCTGGAAATAAATGTATTCCCCAAAAATGCACTAGTGTGGGAGCTTCGAGCTCCTGAGGGAAGGTTCCTTTCCCCTCGGAATTGCCAGGTCGGCGCTGCCAGCCTAAATCTGTGACAGGGTTTTTTTAATTTTTATTTTTTATTTTTTTCTGGAATGCCCACAAAGATCAAAAAGTAGAGTATGGCCTTTATCTAATACTTTAATTCTAACGTGTGATACTTTAATCTAGTCATTTCAGTTCACAGCCGGCCTCCTTGGAGAAATTAGGACATGTTACTTGTTCCATTTGCTTTTTCTCCCTGTTTTAATATTTTTTTAATCTCTGCTTAAAAGGTGGAAATAAGCAGCCAAGGATTGGGGGGGCAGGTGGAGCCACAGCCAAAGTGCCCCAAATAATTGAAGCATTGAGACTTTTACTTAAACACTGTGATCATGGAATCACAGAACAGTTTGTGTTGGAAGGGACATTAAAGATCATCCAGTTCCAACCTCCCTGCCATGGGCAGGGACACCTTCCACCAGCCCAGGGTGCTCCAAGCCCCATCCAACCTGGCCTTGGACACTTCCAGGGATCCAGGGGCAGCCACAGCTTCTCTGGGCAACCTGTGCCAGGGCTTCTCCACACTCACAGCCAGCAATTCCTTCCCAATATCCCATCCAATCCTACTCTCTTTCAATTTAAGGCCATTCCCCCTTGTCCTGCCATCCAAGTCTGTGTGAAAAGTCCCTCTCCAGGGATACGGATGCCGAGGGAACAGAAGGAACACAGTGGAGGAATGGTGGGACCACCCCCTCCATCACAGCACAGTGTCAGGTGAGATGAAATCATCCATGAAATTGCACCTTACAGCCTTGGCAGGTGTCTGGGAGCACCATGAGTTAAGTGGTCCTTCCTCGTTCCCCTCAGCCCTGCAAAGATTCGAGGTCAGTTAGTGCTGCTTTTGACACTTCGCTCTTTGCCTTCGAGTGTGGCCAGGATGTGGTTCTTGTCCAACACCTGAGGGAGCTGGGGGGGTTTATCTGGAGCAGAGGAGGCTCAGGGGGGACCTCATTGCTCTCTGCAACTCCCTGACAGGAGGGGGCAGGGAGGGGGGGTCGGGCTCTGCTGCCACATCCCAAGGGAAAGGAGGAGAGGAAATGGCCTCAAAGTGCCCCAGGGCAGGTTCAGAGCAGAGATCAGAAACAATTTCTCCCTGCAGGAGTGGTCAGGCCTTGCAAGAAGTGTCCCAGGGAGGTGGTGGAGTCCCTGTGTCTGGGAGTGTCCCAGAGGTGTCTGGATGTGGCCCTTGGGGACGTGGATTAGGGGTGACTGTGGTGGTGCTGGGTGAGGGTGGCACTGGATCATCTCGAAGGTCTCTTCCAGCCTTGATGATTCCAAGATAGCCAAGCCCCCTGACATCACCTGCTGCTACCCGGGGGCTCCCAAGGGTTAGATTTTGGCCTGGGGCACCTGCACCCACTGAACATTGTCTAGGAAATCCAGAACATTCCAAAAAGCACCGGCTGTCCTGCATAACCACTGCCCATGTCCTCAGTCAGGAAGGCCAGCTCCTCTCTCAAACAGGGGGGTCCATCCCCGTGAGGATTTCGTAAAGCCCTCTTTGCTGGGCTGGGTGAATGGTGCTGTGCAGTGACACAGGAATTGCTCTGTTGGTCAATATAGGTAACTACAGAGCTCACAGAAAGTTGTTACACTGTTTACTGTAAAGCTGTAACTTCTCGGGGTTTGAGTTTGGAGTTTTTTGTGGGATTTTTGGGGTTTTTTTGTTAACACTTGAAAATATTTTCAGGAGTCTGTGCATTTGCTCAGTCATCCTCTGCTTTTATTTTGCTGGCTATACCCAAGCTTTGGCAACTTGGGCAGAGATAAAATGTCATTTTAAAGATGATGGCCTTCTTTTTAATTTTATTTTGCAGCACAAACAACTAGATATTGGCAGCTTGTTAATACTATTTCAATAATGAAACACCTGCATGGTTCTTCTCTTGTACAGCAGTGTTCTCCTGAGTGTCCTTTTCATTAAAAAGTCAGGGAAGGTTCAGGCTGGACATCAGCAGGAATTTCCTCATGGCAAGGGTGGTCAGGCCTTGGCAGGGGCTGCCCAGGGAGGTTTGGAGTGCCCAGCCCTGGAGGTGTCCAAGGCAGGCCTGGCCGTGGCACTCAGTGCTCTGGGCTGGGGGACAGGGTGGGGATGGGGCACAGGGGGGATCCATGGGCTGGGAGGGCTTTTCCAGCCTCAGGGATTCTGGGATTCTGTTTACACGTTACAGATGATCTACAGAAGTTTCTGTTTTGGTCCTCAACAGCGGAAGGATCGATTAAAATTGAGGAATGAGGTCATTGGGAACTGCAGTTCCACCAGGAACCTGCTCCAGCCACAGGATCTGGAATTAGAGCCGGTGTCAGGATGGATTTGTGTTCTCTGCTGCAAGCAGGTTTAGGGCTAGGATTAGGAATCTTCCAGACTGGGACTCTCCTGCCTCACCTGGAAACCCAGCCCACTGGGTGGGAACAGGACAGAGCACTGGGAGCTGGGAATTCTCCTCTATGCTGGAAATATGGGTAAAGGTTGGGTCCAGCATTTGGGAAATGAGAGACCTCCAAGCTGGGACTTGGCCAGAATCCTGCTCCATCCAGTTTGGGGTTGATTTTCAAACCAGGTGGGCTTCCTGATCCATTGTGTGACACATCCCAGGAGTGGCTGCACTGCAGGGATGGGCAGCTGGCATTGCACAGGGTGGGGTGGGCACTGAGGGGCAGGAGATGACAGGACACTGGCACTGCCTTGGCTGGAAACTCCAAAAGTAAACATGGAGCAAGAGAGATGAACTCCTGAGGGATCCACCTTGGAGAGGAGCAGCTGAGAGGACAGGGATTGAGGATGGAGAGTGAGGAATAGCTCGTGATCTGGACCAAGGGGATCTGAGTTCCTGCTGGTTTCTCCTGCTTTGTTCCCCAGAATGAGTTATCAAATCTTAATTTTTTAAAAAATTTTCTTTAGGAAGGGAGGGACTGTCAAGGCAGGAAAGACTGAGAGTAATTTTATTTAACTCTTCCTCACAAACCACCTGGAGTAGGTTTACAGTACTGGAAAATAGGAGTTTGTGTGTATTCTGTATGAATTAGGAGACTGGCTCGTAAGGAATACTTGGCTTTCTCTTCCTTAGAGGGCACCCCTCAGAAAACAGAACATTCTGGGCCTAAAAGAACCATAATAATTAGAAAAAGCTGAGGAAAAAAAAATAAAAGAAAAAGGACATGAAAAATGAGGAGGAAAGAGTGTAGTGTGGAGAAATGAGATCTAAAAGAGAAAACAGCACACAGCAGTCCGGAGAAATGGAACAGGTGGAAAAGAAACAACAAAACACTCTAATTAAAGCACTACAGTGACACCAGTAATAACTTTTGTGGCCTTCTGAGCACACAGTTTATCAGTAAAACCACCCCTACCACTTTGGGGGTGAAGGGATTTTCCTAATTAAAGGGCTGAGGACTTCCCAAGTCCATGGAAGCTGCTCAGGATTTTACCAGCCTGGGTCCTTCTCTTCCTGCATCAAACTGCAGACAATCATTGTGGTGTCTCAGCCACACATTTACTGACAGGATGACAGAGTTGGGTTGTCCAGCCTGAACAAAAGAGAAGGTTGTGTGGAAACCTCACAGCAACTTCCAGTATCTGAAGGAGCTGCAAGGAAACTGGAGAGGGAATTCTTCAGGAATTGCAGTGACAGGACGAGGGGGAATGAGTTCAAACTGAAAGGTGGGAAATTTAGGTATATGGTAAAAATCCTTCCCTGTGAGGGTGGGCAGGCCCTGGCACAAGCTGCCCAGAGAAGCTGTGGCTGCCCCTGGATCCCTGGAAGTGTCCAAGGTTGTCCAGGTTGGACAGGGCTTGGAGCAACCTGGGATATGGGAAGGTGTCCCTGCCCATGGCAGGGGGTGGAACGAGATGAGCTTTATGATCCCTTCCAACCCAAACCATTCCATGATTCTATGGTAGTGGAATGTGATTATGGATAATATCTCCCAGTTTTTCCCTCCTCACCCTTCCCACATTGACTAGAGGAGTCCATTTTCTTCTTCAGTCTATATTCTGGAATGCTTCATTCCACCATCCAAACTCCAAAAGCTCTCATAGCCGTGCAGTTTTCCTTTGGAATGTGTGCATTTCTGCCTTCCTTCACACAGTCATGGACACCCTGACTTTTCCAGGGCTTCATATTTGTCCTTTGATCAGATGCTTCAGTCCAGAGGACGTGTTGTACCCACAGCAACTCAAACAATCCTCGGTATCCGGCACATCTTCAGGATCTTCAGGAGGGATTTCCCCATAATACAGAACAAAGGTGATGATGCCAACTGTGCTGTTGTGTTTCTCAGGCAAAGCCACCCCAGAGCTCAGTTCCTTTGGGCCACAGTCTGAGGTTCAGTCCCCCAAGAAATTCTTCTCCGTGGGCTGCCTGCTGTGTGGGCTGGCACGGCCCTGGACCAGAAGGTCCTGGAATTGCTGCTGTTGCTTGCTCCAAAAACAAATAAATGTGTGTATCCCTGAGTTTCCTCTGATCCTCTCTGGAGTGGTGGTCGTGGATTCCTCACTCGAGTTGAAGATCACACCCCTAAGTGTGAAAAGTTCCTCAGCCACTTCAAAACATCAGTCAGGAATTCCTGGACATCAGGAGGAGTTTCTTCATGGAAAGGGTGGAGTTCCCATCCCTGGAGGTGTCCAAGGAAGTTCAACAGTGCTCTGGGCTGGGGGGCAAGCTGGTGGTGGGTCAAAGGTTGGACTTGATGACCTTGGAGTTCTTTTCCAACGTAATGATCCTGGGATTCTGTGAGAAGTCCTTCCCCAAACCCATGGAGTTTTCTGGGGAAAGACACCTCTGGGAAAGAGGCTGTTACTTATCCTATGGGAAACACAAACTTGGAAGTTGTATCCCAGAAATCCTCCTGAGACCGCTTTCCATGATAAATCCACTTTCTGTGATAAATCCACTTGCAGGAGCATGGAACAGCTTTCTGTTAAAGTCAGACACCCTGAAGAACTGTGGTTCTTCAAAACTTCTGCAGATCAACTGCTGCAATGTCAAGTGTTCCCCCTCTGGGAACTTCTCTGCATCCTCAGTTTCCAGCTTCTAGAGGAATCTGGTTTCCCTGGGTTTGGAAAGATGAAAGGAAAGTTCTCCAGAGTGTGTTTTGCTGGGTGCCCACATGGCCAACCTCCTGCTAGATAAGAAAAAGAAACTGTAATGAGTTTTAAATTAAATTGCTCTACAGTTGTCACTTATGGTGCTTCAGCGTGCTAAGAAATGGTTCTTCCAGCAGCAGAAGCGGGAATGCTTGGTTGTCTGTCCCTTTTTCCTTCCAGGTCCTCTGTCCTCTCACAGTCCAACACACCAGGAAGATGGAGATGGACTTTTCACAAGGGTCTGGAGTGGCAGGACAGGGGGAATGGGTTCACACTGAGAGTAGGGTTGGATGGGATATTAGGATGAAAATTCTTCCCTGGGAACTGGGACTTAGCTCAGGTTACATGTGGGCAGCTTGGTCTGGTGTCCAACCAAACAGGAGCATTAACAGAATCCCAGAATCCCAGCGTGGGTCAGGCTGGAAGGGACCACTGTGGGTCATCTGATCCCACCTCCCTGCTCCAGCAGGGCCATCCCAGAGCACATGGCACAAGGTTGTGTCCAGGCATTTGTGAGACATCTCCAGTGAGGAGACTCCACACCCTCTGTGGGCAACCTGCTCAGTGCTGGGTCACTCACTGCCCAGCAAAGAAGTTCTTCCTCATATTTAGGTAGAACTTGTGGGGCAGTTCAGCTTTTCCCAAAGTGAGAAATGGTGGAGTGATGACCCAGGATCAATCCTCAACAAAGCCACCAGTTTTCCCAGACTTCTCTGAAGCTCTTTTATTCAAGATCTCTGCCCGAGGTGGGTCTGTCAAAGGGGGCTGGGAATCACAAGGAGTTAAGGATGAGGGTGTAATCAAGAGGCAGTGCCCTCAGACTTATTAACGCAGAATAAAGAGGATTTGTTTTTGTCCAATATGCACATAAACCAAACGAGCTGTGTGTGCATTCCCTGCCATATTCCAGGCTCAGTTTCCTGCCTGGACTGCCAGGCTGGGAGGATACCCCTTAAGTATTCCCAGAGCAAGTTCCCCAGGCTGAATGAATTCATCTGCTTGACTCTGTTGGACCTCACAGTTCTCCATCCCTGGTTTTTTTTTCAAGAGGCTACAGGGCTGTCTTCCCTACTGTCAGTGATTTCCACCCTTGTGCTGGGACTCCAACATTAACCCACCTGCCTGCTGGACTGCTGGGATGAGTGCAAAAACAAGCTTGGAGCAGTCATGGCTTTCAGGTCTTGGGAAATCAGAAAACTTGCAAAGGGTCCAGCCCTACAGGGAAAGAATCTGGGGTAGAATCACAGAATCACACACTGGTTTGGGTGGGAAGGCACCATAAAGATCATCTCATTCCGCCCCCTGTCATGGGCAGGGACACCTTCCACCAGCCCAGGTCGCTCCAAGCCCTGTCCAACCTGGCCTTGGACACTTCCAGGGATCCAGGGGCAGCCACAGCTTCTCTGCCCAACCTGTGCCAGGGCCTGCCCACCCTCACAGGGAATGATTCCTTCCCAGTATCCCATCTAACCCTTCTCTCTGCCAGTTCAAAGCCATTTCCCCTTGTCCAGTCCCTCCATCCCTTGTCCCCAGTCCCTCTCCAGCTCTCTCGGAGCCCCATTAGGCCCTGGAAGGGGCTCTGAGGTCTCCCTGGAACATTTTCTCCTCCAGGTGAGCACCCCCAACTCTCCCAGCCTGGCTCCAGAGAGAGGGGCTCCAGTTCTGGGATGAACTTCTGGTTGTTCTTTGTTAGTGGTTTTCCCTCGGCAGGATGGGAGCGAGTCCAGAGGAGGCACCAAGAGGATCCCAGGGCTGGAGCAGCTCTGCTGGGAGGAAAGGCTGGCACAGCTGGGATTGTTCAGCTGGACAAGAGAAGCTTTGGGGGGACCTGAGTGTGGCCTTGCAGGGCCTGAAGGGGCTCCAGGAAGGATGGAGAGAGACTATTTCCAAGGGCTGGAGGGACAGGACAAGGGGGAATGGCTTCAAATTGAAATAAAGTGGGGATAGATGGGATACTGGGAAGGAATTCCTGTCTGGGAGGGTGGGCAGGCCCTGGCACAGGTTGCCCAGAGAAGCTGTGGCTGCCCCTGGATCCCTGGAAGTGTCCAAGGCCAGGTTGGACAGGGCTTGGAGCAACCTGGACTAGTTGAAGGTGTCCCTGCAGGAGGTGGAACTGGATGATCTTTAAAGTCTGTTTGATGATTCCATGATATGAGAGGTGTGAAAAAAATGGTTGAAGTTGGGGACAATTGGCAGGTGTTGGCAGCACAATCGAAGATGAAGGGCGTTGTTTGCACAAGGGGTATTTCATAAATACCATTTTAAATTGTTTCCCAAGAAATCTTTCATTCCCAAGAAATCCATCAGGCTTTTAAACTTCACTTTTTAAACTTCACCCATGGCCTGGGTGAAGGTGGCAAATCTGTGGAGATGGGAAAGCAGTCTTGAAAACCAAAAGCTGAAAAAATCACCTCAACCCCTTGTTTTTCCCTTCCCTTTTCCAACCTATTTCCTCATAACAAGTCTTTTTCCAACAAACCTCCACTGAGTTTTTGATGTGTTGACAGAGGAGGTTTTCTTTATAAAGTTGTTACCTCAGGTAAGTGAAGACTGAACCCAAATTTCAGGCACAACGTGATTTTGAAGACTTCCACTTACAAATTAGAACAAACCTAAATGAAAAGCATGTAGAAAATTCCAAGTAGCCAAGATGCATCTTTAAAATATGTTTTAAAAATTAATGTAATTACCTGCTCTGTTTATTTATTCTATTTATTCTGTTAGATATAGATAATTCTGTTAGATGCACCCAGGCCATTGTAGGTGTCTCAATATCAAATGTAAGCCCCATATTTGACACATGGAAGCCTGAATTAATACATTTGCTGAAGAACTATATTAATTAAATACCAATTACACAGAGCCAGTCATACACATGGGAGAGACTAATAAAAAAACCAGTGCTCAAATTTCCATAGGTACTTTATATCTGGAATGAACAGAGGGGTTTTCCAATGTGAAACATCAAGAACAGAACACTTTTTGGGCTTATTTTGGGGGTTTGAGGATAGTTTGGGGGCTTTTGTGTGTGTGTGTGTCCAGAATGTTCAGGCTGAGGCAAACATCCAGCTCATCCTTGTTTGTTTTTTTCCATTGTTTGCAGGTTTGCCAACTTGGAAGAAATTTTCTATCCTGGATGTTGCCTCAGGATGATTTTTCTTCTTTAAACCCACCCTTCCCTGGTTTTTGTTTGGGTTTTTTTTTCTTTGCTTTGTTTTGCTTTCAGGGAAAAGAATATTGAGAATTTGGTCTTATTCTGAAAGAGTCAGATTTTAGCTGGGGGAATTTATAAGCAACTGCAAAACAAGTGCAAGTTTAACAGGCTGAAAAAACAGCAGCAAAAATATTTCTAGCTTAGATTGTCACGAGAAAGAACTTTTTGCTGTCTTTTTCCTGTTGCTTTTTGAGGCAGTGAAATCAATATGTAATAAATTGTAGTAAATATCCCAACTTCTGGTGTTAATTTTAACCCAAAACACCCCAAGGCAAATCCTCATGAGGGGCAGGGACAGGACCCAGGGAACAAACAAATGGTATCATTTCCTCTTTTTTTCCTTTCTTAAAAAAGGAAATATTTCCAGGCAAGGTCCAATGAAGCAAAAGTCCTAAAAATGGGTGAGGAATTGGGCAGTTCCAGCCTCGGTCACCACGGGGGCCCTGCCGGGTTTGGGCCGGGCAGTGTTGGGCACACAGGAGATTGTGGCTGTGCCAGGGAAATGAGGCACCAACAAATGCAGGGTTTGAAGTTTCCCTTGTGCTGTCCCATTCCTGAGAAGTGCTGGCCAAGGGGGAGATGGGTCAGGAAATCTGGAGAGGAGTCTCTGTTCCCTCAGGCCCCGATCTCTGCTGGCTGGGACAGGGACAGCACCCAGGGAAGGGCTGGAGCTGTGCCAGGGCAGGCTCAGCTTGGAGCTCAGCACAAGGTTCTTCCCCCAGAGGGTGGTTGGCACTGCCCAGGCTCCCCAGGGCAGTGGGCACGGCCCCAAGGCTGCCAGAGCTCCAGGAGCGTTTGGGCAACGCTCTGAGGGACAGGGGGGAGTGTTGGGGTGTCCTGGGCAGGGCCAGGGCTGGCACTGGATGAGCCTGGTGTGTCCCTCCCAACTCAGGATATTCCAGGATTCTACCCACAAGGAAGTTGCCTTTCTCCCACCATGAGCTCTTGTTTCTTGCTTTCTGAGTTATCCTCTCCCTGCTCTCCGTGATCCGCCTTTGCCGTGAGCAGCTGTCCCAGAGCCCCCACAGAACCCCTGGAGCCCAACCCTGCCCTGCAGAGGAGTTGGGGATCTCCACACGGGTGACCTACTTCAGTTCCTAACTGGCTTTGACACTCTTTTCCAGTTGCATGGATTAAGATTTTTCCTTCCTGAAGTCATCGGGCTCCGGCCGGACCTTTCACCGCTCTGAACCGGGATGGTAAAACTCACAGTGTCTCCCCCTGCCCTTTGCCACGGTATTTTCATGGGAACTTACAACTCATCCAGCTGGGGATGTGGCTTCCAGCAGCTCCCAGCAGAGGATGCCCAAGGAAGAGCTCACAAACAAGGTCAGTGTGCTGTCCCCGAGCATTCCCGCTGTCCAGTCATCTGTGCTTTGGAGTTTCCGCAGGGTGGGTGCTGGGGGAGGGTTTCTTATTTAACAGCCTTTGTATTTATTTAACAGACTTTTCTTCTATTAATTTGATGGGTTGGGTTGATCTCCCAAACAGACAAGCCCAGCATGGTTTGGGTTGGAAAGGACATTAAAAGCTCATCCAGTGCCACCCCTGCCATGGGCAGGGACACCTTCCACCAGCCCAGGCTGCTCCAAACCCCTTCAGCCCGGCCTTGGACACTTCCAGGGATCCAGGGGCAGCCACAGCTTCTCTGGGCAACCTGTGCCAGGGCCTGCCCACCCTCCCAGCCAGGAATTCCTTCCCAGTATCCCATCTAACCCTGCTCTCTGTCAGTTTAAAGCCATTCCCCTTGTCCTGTCACTCCAGGCCCTTGCAAAAAATCCCTCTCCCTTCTTTTTCTCAGGTACTGGAAGGACCTTTTGGGATGTGGAGAAAAGAACTGCACAAACCACTCAATATGCAGAGAACTATGGATTTATACTGGGGTGGGCGTGTTACAATGTTCCCTGGTTTGTTCTCTGTCTTGTTCTCTTAACAATTCCAAATATTTTGATTTGTTTCTCTGAGTAACAGGGAACATTGTGCTGAGATTTTTATAGAAATATTAATCAGAACCCAAAGATCTCATTTGTGAGTGGAAAACCAGCTTAGAGCCCATCCTTGTGTGCACGGAATTTTCCCCCCATGTTCACTATTTTACTACATTATTTTATCTGCCATTTTATTATACGCTCACTCAGCCTTGTAAGGTCTTCAGAGTGAACGTCCCAATTTGTCCTCTACCTTTCCTTTACCTGGATGCTCAGTATCTTTAGAAATCTGTGGCATTTCACTGCTCCCCCCTTCCCCAGATCCTTTAGGAATACATTCAGCAGCACCAGGTCCCTGCAGACTCCCCTTGTGATCCCCCTCTTCTATGAAAACTGACCTTTTATTGTTGTTTTATTTCCATTTCCTGTCATCCAGCCAGTTTTTGATCCAGCCTTCTCTTGCTTCTTGTTGCACAAAGGCCTTTTTAATGTCTTTTTTTTTTTTTCTTCTTCCAAATGATGCTTTGTGTGGGAATCTCATTGCCCCTGGAAATCCTGGGAATGCTTAAACATGGATCTTCATGTTATTGAGGGAAGGGTCACACACTGCAGTGGGCAACTGAGTTATCTCAGAGCTCCTGGGTGGAGCCCACCTGGTCCCCAGGATGGCTTGACCTTGCCTGCTTATATTTGTGATAGATCAGTTAAATTCCCCATAATTCCAAATTCTGGAATGGATTCCACACCTCCAGTGCTGTGGCCAGGTCTGGGCCCCTCAGGACAGGAAGGACATTGAGGGGCTGGAGGAGTCCAGACAAGGGGCAGGACTGAGATAGAAATATTTACATCTAAAATAATCTCCCAGCTCAGAAACAGGGCCCCAACTCATCATCTCATGAATGGTTTGATTTGGAAATATGAGGAATGACTTACAACCCCCAGCTCCTTTCCTGGACCTGCATCCAATTCCGACTCCTTCCACTAGACCAGCTTGCTCAGATCCTCATCCAACCTCACACGGAAGTTAAAAATCATTTCCCTGCTGTCCCTTCCTCCAGTTTAAAGTGTGGCATCAAAACCCACATCCCCCAACATGTTTGGGATGGTGTCTCCTATCTGTAATTGCCAATGGAAAAAGGTATTTTAGGGACTCAGTTCCACAGTTTTACTTCTGCATGACAAGAAGAAAACTAAAAAAAAAAAAATACATGTGTCTGTCTCAGGTGGCTCCAACCATCAGAACAGCCAGGATGTGAATATTAATTACCATTAATTAATTAGCAACCTGCACACCCAGTGACACACTCCTTACAACGAGGAGGAAGAAACATCAGTGGACAAAAGCTGACCCATAATCTGTAATTTTAGACGCGGAGTTTGAAAAGTTATTTATATCACAGCAAAATGTAAACAGCTGAGGGCATGGGTATCACTTACAAGCTATTCCCCCTGGTCTCAAAGCAGTATTTTAAAAAATTAAATTTAAAAATGTTCTGTTTCGGTCTCATTTGAGGTCGCAACAAAACTTTAGTGACCAAGGGAATAAAGTGAGACCAAACTGGTGAGTTGATCCACTCAAGCTTTTGTCACAACAAATATGAGGGATTATTTGTTCCCCCAGATAAATTTTGGACACCACCTTTTTTTGTTCAATGTGAGTGTCAATGTTTTCAGTGTAACCACCACATTTATGTAATTATATTATTTCGGTATAGAAACACCAAATTATTTTTCGAGGCCTGTCAGCACTCAAAGAGTCGATTTTACACATTAATATTTCATTATTATTTTTATATTATTTATTAAAATACTTTACAATATTACTTTAATATAACTTTAATATATTTTAATATAACCCTAATATAATTATTTTAATTTAACATTCTTTAAAAACCCACCTTTTTTAACGCAGCCTGCTACAAATTATTGCTGCTGGCAGGATGCACAAATTCCAGTAGGAATGTGCAACTGCTTTGAACTGCTTTTGTTCTCCATACATGTATCCTACTATAAATGTCTAAATCACTTGTTTTGTTTCATCCGCTGGTTTTTTTTCCACCTCCTACATGTTTGATAACTCTATTTTCCTTATTTGCTAATTCTTTTGAGATGCAAGTAAAGCTCAGTGCAATTTTCAGTCAGTTCAAGCCCTTTTAAACTAGGAGGGAATTCCCTTAAAAATGGTGCAATTTTGCTGGAAAATGAGTTCACTCTTAATGACCTTTGAAATTCCTTGGCCAACATGATGCCTTATGGTGTTATTTATTTTTATATATTTTATTCTGCCTCTCTCAATTTTAACATGACACAAAATCCGGCTTTTTAGACCTTCTGTCTGGACTTTCCCTCAGCTTAGTTTCACCTCAATTAGCTTTTCTCACCTTGATATGGGAACAAATCAGTTTATTTTGGTGCCTTTTGTGGTCTTTTCTCATTAGTTCTTTTAGAGAACCTTGCTAAGATTTAATGTCTGTGCAGTCCCTCCATGTGGTGCAGATATTTCAATTTCTTTATGATTATCTCCCTCCTTTCTGAGGCATTCAGAAGCACCACTATTTATGTGCTCCAGTGCTGGGATTTGGTGGGATTTCTCCACCAGAGATAATGAATTTTAATTTACTTCCTGTAGTTCAGTGTATCAGTTATTTCTTCTATTAACTCCTCGGTGTAACTTAGGCCTTTTGACTCAGATGCTCTAAAAAACAATGTTCAGTTTAGTCAAATGTGCTTGTAAAAACCGTGAAGTGATCTAAAAATTATCCAGCACTGGAATAATATTTGAAGTGACTGTTTGATTAGACTTAATCACCTCTAAACTCCTCCAACCCTGTGTGCTCCACATCCTGCTGATGGCAAGCAGTGAAATCACAGGTGCCTTTTTTGTCATCCCTTTCCATCTCTTGGAAAACTTCTCCTGTTGAATTCCTTGAGGCAGGTCCCTTCCAGCTGAAACCATTCCGTGATTCTGTGGTGCCTCCTCTGGGCTCTCTCCAGCAGCTCCCTGTGCTCCCTGTGCTCTTCCCAGGGCTGGAGCAGCTCTGCAGGTGGAGTAAATAAAACTATGTTAAAAAAACCAGGCTGTGGGCACCAATATTCCACTGAGAAGCCCATTTCCCCTTTAGTTGCGATTTCCTGAAGGAATTCCCGTTCCCAAACCAAGCCTAAAATTGTCAGTCTCACCATTTGTCCAAATTTGGGGTGGATTTTTCAAGTGGATGGACACAGCAGGCCCCTGACAATGACAGGCCTCGGTGCCAAAAATTCCAGCCTTTGCTCTGAGGCTTGAACTGTTTCATTTTGATGAAGTCTTCCCAAATAATTCAGTGGGAGGTGGATCCTCTGTAAAGAAAATCTATGACCTGGATCAACCAAAAGAAAATCCTGTTACTGGAGAGGGAACTTTCATAAGGGAGTGACAGGACAAGGGGGAATGGTTTTGAGTGGAAAGAGTGGAGATTTAGATTAAATATTGGGAAGAAATTGTTCCCTGTGAGGGTGGGGAGGGGCTGGGATAGAATTCCCAGAGAAGCTGTGGCTGCCCCTGGATCCCTGGAAGTGTCCAAGGCCAGGCTGGACGGGTCTTGGAGCAACCTGGGATCATGGAAGGTGTCCCTGCCCATGGCAGGGGGTGGCTCTGGGTGATCTTCAAGGTCCCTTCCCACCCAAACCATGCTGGGATTGTTCCTTCAAAACCAACCACCCTGAGGGTGCTGAACCGTCAGTGCCTGAATTTGGACACGGATTGGTTGGGATCTGGGAGCTCCCGAGGGTTTGTTTGTGGGATGGCTGTTGCTAAGCACAGGGGCAGCTCCAGCCTGTTCCAACGGCAGCTTTTTCTGGACACCAGGCTCCAGTTCCTAGAAATGAGTAATTGAAGTACCTTGGAAAAAGTTTTCCAAGAAAAACAGTGGATTGTGAAAGTGATGGCAAAAAAAAAAAAAAAAAATCAACAACATGCTCAGAAAGCAGCTGTACTATCCAGGTTTGTGGTTTTCTTTTCTGGAGCTCTGATTGGTTGGGGTGAAAAATAAAACATCAAAATCCCTCTTTGCCTGCCCCACAGTAACTCAGAACAGTAATCAGCTCCATGAGGTAAGTGGCTAATATAATTAATCAGAGTTAAGTGCTCCTTTCTCTTTACACTGCCCATTTTCCCTCTTTTCTCTGAATTGTGGGATGACTTTGATATCTCGATTCTTTTCCCAGAACAAAAGATGTTCCTAATTACAGGAATGGGCACTGGGTTTTGCCGAGTTTTCCATAAGCACTCCAGGAGGAAGGGAGCACAGATGGGTTTCAGTACTGAGGGGATGAGGAGGAATAGGACAGAACCTTCTTCCAGGTGCTCCCACCACTGGCAGAGACTCTGTTTTTATTTATTTTATCCGCTTTATTTATTTTAACTTTGTGAAGCTGAAGAAAATACATATTTAGTTTGCTACCTCTAAACACCAAGCTTAAAAACCTGCAGTGATTTATCCTGGATAATAAAACTAAATATAGAGAGCTTTGGAGTCTGTGAAAGGTTTCTTCATTCCCAAATTTCTAAATGGGTTTGCATTCCCTGTCTTCTTGGAAAACAGAATTCCACAGACAATCCCAGCATGGTTTGGGTTGGAAAGGACATTAAAGCTCCTCCAGTGCCATCCCCTGCCATGGGCAGGGACACCTTCCACCAGCCCAGGTTGCTCAGAGCTCCATCCAACCTGGCCTTGGACACTTCCAGGGGCATCCACAACTTTTTCGGGCATCCTGAAGTTGCCGTGCCCCTTCAGCTGTGCCCTTTGGGCACATTCCTTGCAGCGGAATCAGCTTTCCCTGAGCTGCACAGGCTCTGGTTTGTTCAGGATTTCAGTTACTTTGATTGCTAATGAAAAAAAAAAAAAAAAGAGAGAAAAAGGGGAAAAAAGTAAAAGAAAAAGAGCAGGAATCTGCTCTTCACCATCCCTGCTTCTTCACCAAGCCATGGATTAAGAGTGAATTAAAGAATTCCCACTTTAGAATGACTCTGGACACAGGAGCTTGTGCTGTAACACCCCAGTGGAGGCTGCCCTGGCTGCTCAGAGCATGACGTGTGGAGAATGAGGTGGGAAAGCATTGAAATTCACAGCCAGGCTCCCGCTTTAGAGGTTTACTTCGGGATTTGGGATTCCGCCGATGGACAACTGCTGTTCCCGCTGGAATCACGGGAATTCCGTCTGTGGCCACACCTGGGAGGGATGGAAGGCATTTCCACGCCGGGCCTTTCTGTGCTTCGGGTTTTTAATGCGAATTCCCCTCCCTCCCTGCGCATTTTGCAAGGCATTCCGCTGCCTTCCTAAATTTATCGGGACAAGTTCCAGGGTACTTTGAGGGCAGAGGACGCGGGGGCGTGCCTGGAAATGCGATGTGATGAATCACGCGTGTAATTAGAGCAGGGATAAATTCGCTACTGGCATATACGGGGTTTTGAGACTGTATAGCGTAGTCAGGGGGATAAATTTAAGAGCACCGAAGCCTTTCCCGGGATTCCATTGTCCGCCCGTGGAGCTCAGGCTCTGCCACAGCCCGGACTACAAATCCCGTCAGTCCCCGCGGCTCGCACAGCCCGCGGCGCGCCCTTCACCTGCGCGCAAAGCACGCCGGGAGCTGTAGTTCTATAGGGAGACCAACCCCGCGCGTCACCCGCGCCCCCTCCCACTCGCTGCCATGGCAACCGCGCGGGGGGCGGGGCCGGGCGGGAAGAGGCGTGGGCGGCTGGGAAGTGACGGGGCGGGGACCCGGATGTTGGGGGGGGAGGAGGGGACCCCCCCTGAGGCGCGGTCACGTGATCGGGCGATGGGCACGGCGCTGGACGTGAGGGTGAAGCGGGCCGGGAAGGTCTATCGCGATGGGGTGCGTCTGTCGCGGGCGTATCGCGGGCATATCGCGGGCGTGTCGCGGGGTAAGGAGTCGTCACCGACCCGCGGGAGTGAGAGTGTCGCGACAGCGGAGCCCCGCGGGGCATCGGGAAGAGCGTCGCCAGAAGGGCAGGGAGGGGACCCTGCCCCTCTGCCCAGCCCTGGGAGGCTCATCTGCAGGGCTGGGTCCAGCTCTGGCTCCTCAGCACAGCAGGCACAGGGAGCTGCTGGAAGATGATTCTCCTGAGGAGATTCCAAAGGGATGGAGCATCTCTGGGAGCAGCAAAGGCTGAGGGAGCTGGGGCTGTTCAGCCTCCAGAGCACACACTGAGAGGGGACCTCCCCCAGGTCTGTGGGGGCTGCAGGGAGGGGGCAGAGGATGGACCAGGCTCTGCTCGGGGGGGCCCAGCAATGGCACAAGAGGAAGGGGCAGGAACTGATGCCCAGCAAGTTCCACCTGCACAGGAGGAAGAACTTCTTGGCTGGGCAGTGACCCAGAACTGAACAGATCACCCAGAGAGGGTGTGGAGTCTCCTCCCTGGGGATATTCCAGACCCCCCTGGACACGTCCCTTTGTCACCCGCTCCAGGTGGCCCCGCCCGGGCAGGGGGGTTGGACTGGGGCGATCCCCGGAGGTCCCTTCCGACCCCAGCCCCTCTGGGATTCTGGCATTCCGTGTGCGCATCCCGGCCCGGCTTCCCGCTGGGAATCTCCCGGGACCATTCCAGGCGGCGGGGATTCCTCGGGAAGCGGAGTCGTCCGCCCTCTCCTGTCGGAGCCGTCGCAGTGCCGCAGTTTTCCCTGTGTCCCGGAGCTTTCCCTGCGTCCCGGAGCTTTTCCCGTGTCCCTGAGCTTTCCCAGGACCTGGAGCTTTCCCTGTTTCCCTGCACGGAGCTTTCCCCGTGTCCCAGAATTTCCCCTGTGCCCCATCCCGGAGTGTTCCGTGTCCCTTGCCTGGAGCTTTCCCTGCTCCCCAAGCCTGGCACAGCTTCCCGCGGGTCTCCTGTCGCCAACGGGAGCTCAGCTCCGGGATTTTGGGAATTGTCTTGGGGATTAAGGGATGCTTTTTGTCCTTCTTTCCCCTGGGTATCACGGGAGGACCCTGACCAGGCTCTGGGGAAGCCGGTGGGGCTCGGAAGGAAAGGGAAGAAAGGACAGGGAAGGAAAGGAAGGAATATTTTTAATTTTTATCACTGTTTATCTACAGATATTTCGTTGTTCAACAGAAATGTTCAGGTGTTTGGTTTCTTTTTTTTTTTCCTTGCCATCCAGCCACATGCTTGTATCATAAAAATCCTTTTCATGCAGCAAAATTCCATTTATTGAACGGTTTTCATGCTGGGAAAACTGGATTTACAGTTTGTCCCCTTGGCTTGCTTTATGTCACTTTTAACTGTTTTTTTTTTTTTTTATGGGAAAGGGATATTTCTTCTGTTTTAAGCTGAAATTAAGGTATTTCTGTTCAGTCAATCTGTCATTTTTGTTTATTGCTTCCACTTGAACTTGATGTGGAAAGGTTTGCAATTTTAATTCCTTAACTAGCGTCTGGAATTTGGAGGTCTGAGGCGAAAACACGATGATGGAAGAGCTGAGATTTATGATGGGAATGTTATAGGGGCAGAAAGGAGGTGCAGATCTCTAATTAGGCATGGAATGTGTGCAGGTTTGGGGAATTTTGGGGGGAAATTTGGTATTTCTGTAATTCAGAAATGGTCATGTTTGCAAACGTGTTGAGAGAGTAAAGTTTCCTCCTGCGTTGTGTGTTGATTCTTAAGGTATTTGAACATCTTGGTGAGCTTCTCGTCTTTGAGTTGTACTTTTTAGAAGGAGAAATGTACTGACAGGTTTGTGCTTTGTGTAGAACTCTGGTTTTACACAAAAAAAGGGCAAAGTGGCTCTCTTGGAGAACAGACAGAAGTGACTTTATGCCTCATCAAAGAGAGGCATCATCTGATGGCACAGAAACTCCTTAAGGAAACATTACAGTGTCTTCTTCATCTTTCTTCCCTTTTGACCTGTAAAGGCTTTTTGTCGTAATCATGGAATGGTTTGGGTTGGAAAGGACATTAAAGATCATCCAGTGCCACCCCTTGCCATGGGCAGGGACACCTTCCACCAGCACAGGGTGCTCCAACCTGGCCTTGGACACTTCCAGGGATCCAGGGGCAGCCACAGCTTCTCTGCCCACCCTGTGCCAGGGCCTGCCCACCCTCCCAGCCAGCAATTCCTTCCCAATATCCCATCTATCCCTGCCCTCTGCCAGTCTGAAACCATTCCCCCTTGTCCTGTCACCCTTGGAAATAGTCTCTCTCCATCTTTCCTGGAGCTCCTTCAGGCCCTGCAAGGCCACACTCAGGTCCCCCCAAAGCTTCTCTTGTCCAGCTGAACAATCCCAGCTGTGCCAGCCTTTCCTCCCAGCAGAGCTGCTCCAGCCCTGGGATCCTCTTGGTGCCTCCTCTGGGCTCTCTCCAGCAGCTCCCTGTGCTCCCTGTGCTGTTCCCAGGGCTGGAGCAGCTCTGCAGGGGGGTCTCACCTGAGGGGCAGAGGGGCAGAATTTTGAGCTGGTTTTTCAGTTTTGAAGGAATGTTGACAGAAAAATTCTTATTTAACTTGAAATCACCCCTCTCCTTCCTGCCCCCAGGATGTGCCCCCTTCCCGTGTGGAAGTGTGTGGGCAGCAGCTCTGGAAGAGGCTCTTGCTGTGTGGTGGGAAACGTCTTTATTAAAGCAGTTCATGTGTTCAGGATTGTCCTCACTTCTCATAGCTGAGCTGGGCTCGTTTTTCACAGCAATAACCTAATTGCTTGTGCTAATTAAGGCCCCTGAGCGGAGCAGAGCAGAATTTAGGTCAGCTTTTCTTCCCTGTCCTTTTGTGCTCGTGCCTCCTGTCCTGGCCTTTCCCACTTGCTGCACATCCCCTTTCCAGCCTCGCTCCCACTGCCGGATGTTCTCCTGCCCCGCTCTTCCTGACCCATTTCGGGCATCCTGTGCCACCAGGAAGGACAAAAGGCTGCCCAAATTCCAACCTGCTGTGAGCTGGTTGGGTGGAGAGAGGAAGGCTGTGGGAATCCTGCTGTGCTTGGAGTGAGCTCTATCCTGGTGTCTCTTTGCCTGGTGAGGGAGCAGGAGGGAAGATCATCCACCACGAGCTTGCCAGGTTGTCCATCAGGTTGCTGCCCTTTCCAGCTGTGGATTTTTACATGTATTGAAGCAGATTTTTACATGGAGCTCAGGACTGAAGCAGGTTCTGTGGTGCAGGAGAGGGGAAGGACGAACAGTGGGGAATGTGAAATGAATTGTGTGTTGCTCCCCTGCACTCACCTGGTTTTCAGTGTCAGAACTTCTGAGCTGATAACTCTGAGGATGCAGCAAAAGAACGTTTTGTGGACAGAACATCCTACCTGGGACGAAGTGACACCTTCCTGGAGTCAAACAAGTTGTGCCTTGGACTCAGATACACTTTGAAACAGTTTCTCTGTGCTCCTGTGGCAGAGCAACTCGTAATTTATATGTTTTGTTTATGTATTTCAAGTCTATTCTGCCCCACTCTTGAGTTGAGTCTCACCTTCTTGGCCATCCCTTTTCCAGCTGTGCCTTCCCTTCCCTCTCCCCATCCCACTTTCCATGTGACAATTCCTCCTGGGAGTTTATCCTGACACATGGGATGGAACTTGCCTGTTGCCAACTGACCCAGTGGTTGTTCATGAGGGTGTTTTTCATCTTCCTGGAGAAGGAAGATCTTGAAACTTTGGGAGGAAGGTGAAGCCCTTCTGCAAAGAGGAGGATGATATTTTTAAGGAAAACAAGCCAAAGCCCTCTCCCTACATTCCCTTATCATCAGTGTTGGTGTTTCCTGACGAGGTCACACCGTTCTTTGGGAACAGTTTCCTCGAGTTTGAAGATCAGGTACACACTGTCTGGCCAACAGCTCTGGAAAAAAAAAAATGGATTTAAACAAATGTTTTCACGTTGTCTTCTTTCCCACCAGGAAGTTCTTTCTGGAGTTGTGGTCATCACAAGTAAGGACACAGTCCAGCACCAGGGAATCTCCTTAACCATGGAGGGCTCAGTCAATCTGCAGCTCAGTGCCAAAAGTGTGGGGGTGTTCGAGGCTTTCTACAACTCTGTCAAGGTAAGGCCTGCACAGCTCGATGTTTTCAGCACAGAAACTCCTGTCTCTCTTCTCAAAGGAGGTCTTTCCTTAGTGGCTTTCAGGTGGTCAGAGGATTTCATGGCATGGAAATGAGGGAAAGCATTAATTGGAGATCCCAGAATCACAGGATGGTTTGGGTGGGAAGGGACATTAAAGATCATCCAGTGCCACCCCCTGCCATGGACAGGGACACCTTCCACCAGCCCAGGGTGCTCCAAGCCCCGTCCAACCTGGCCTTGGACACTTCCAGGGACCCAGGGTCAGCCACAGCTTCTCTGGAAATTCTATCCCAGCCTCTCACCAGCCTCCCAGCCAGGAATTTCCTTCGCAATATCCCATCTAACCCTGCCCTCTGTCAATCTGAAACCATTCCCTTTGTCCTGTCCTTCCAGGCCCTTGTCCCCAGTCCCTCTCCAGCTCTCTCGGAGCCCCTTTAGGCCCTGGAAGGGGCTCTGAGGTCTCCCTGGATCCTTCTCTCCTCCAGGTGAGCACCCCCAGCTCTCCCAGCCTGGTTCCAGAGCAGAGTTGCTCCAGCCCTTGGATCAACTCAGTGGCCTCCTCTGGGCTTGTTCCAACAGCTCCACATCTTTCTCATCTTGGGGGAAATAATAATAAAATTCCAGATGGAAAAGTGTCACCTCCAAGCAAAACTCCCCTTTCCAGAGTGCTGGAGACACTGGGGAGCTCCCTGGATCTCTTTGGTCACCAGTGTGATGGAGCCATAAAACAGATCACAAATGGCTGTCTTGAGGAAAATATTAATATTTCTTTTCATTGTAAAGAAATATCCCAACACTGAAAGGTGTCCTGAAAGATACCTGAGATCCTTGGAAATCCAGGAAGTCTGTTAGAGTTTAGTGCATGTTTTTTGGTTCTCTGTTTCAACCTAAACCTCCTTGACATTTCTCTTTGCAGCCTATTCAGATTATCAACAGCACCATTGAAATGGTGAAACCAGGGAAGCTTCCCAGTGGCAAGACAGAAATTCCCTTTGAATTCCCACTGCACATGAAGGGGAACAAGGTCCTGTACGAGACATACCATGGGGTGTTTGTCAACATCCAGGTAAGCTCCTCTCTGCAAAAATCTGCACCTCCATCTGCAGAACATGCTCCAAAACATCTCTCAATCCGTGGAAATCGAGGATGAAGTTTGGTGGTCGAAGCTTTCAGAGTGCAGAGTGGTTTTTTCTCAGTTTCCATGTCACTGTCCACTAAACCTTTAAGGAATGGTGGCCCAAAGAAGTTGTTTTTTGCCTGGAATTCCTTGTCAGAACTCTTGACATCCTCATCTGATCCCTCCTTGCAGCTTCAAATCCAGGGATTCTTTGCTTTCCTGGGGAGATGGGGAATGACATTCCCTGCCCAAATCTGGGTGGAATTCGTGCCGTTGACAGAATCTTGTGGAACCACCAGTTTGAAACTGGACGTTTTTTGGGTTAAAAATTGTATTACCATACATGGGTTGGGTGGTTTAGGTTTTTTTTTTTGGGGGGGGGGGGTTCTTTTGGTTTTGTTTTTGAGGGAAAGTCTTTCCTCACCCATCTTATGAAGGTAAATAATAATTATTTTATTACAATCTGGAATTAAAAAAGCCAACCTGACAAGCCACACCACCCCCCATTAGCCTGTCAGAAGTAACTAAAAGAAAAAAAAAATCCCTTGTTTTTTTGTCTTTTTTTTAAGGACTTCCCATCTGTCTTTTCAGTTTTGGCTTTCTTCCCCTTGTAATGTGTTGTTTGTGGTGGATAAGTCAGAAATGGTGCAGAAGTGGTGGAGTTGCTTCCCATATCCCAAATAACTTGCTGTGATCCCCTTTAATGGGGAACACTTGGCTTGTTCTGTCATTCCCCCTCTCCTCTGTGTAGCTTCTCTTGGCAAGCTGGGGATAAAATGCCATTAAAAAATATAATAATTGAGATTTTAGCCAAATTTTTGAGCCCTGCTCTCCTGAAGAGGAAGATGTGACACCAAGGTGCTGGTTAAGAGACTTCCTAAACCTCTGTCCAAGGGCTGGGCAGTTTAATTAAACCTCTCTTTCTTGATTTAGGGATTAGTTGTGGGTCCAAGGCTCTGTTCTCCTGCAGAAACCTTTTAATTACACACTGAGGGGGAGGTTTGGAGCCAAGAAGGAGAAGTGAGGAAACCAAATCCCTGCTCTGAGGGCACCTCTTTTCACCAGTTCCTCGCCTGGAAAGAAGGAATTCAAACCAAACCAAGCAAAACAACAACAAACCCCCATCCCAACAAATTCCCTGTGCTGTGAGGCTTTGTCAGAGATCCTGAAGTGTGGGATTCCTGGGATAACTGTTTTCAGCTGCTGGTTTGTGGCTCCTGTTTTAGGGGAAGGAATAGGCAGCAAATGAACCTCGTTGCCTGATTTTACTGCAAAATTTCAGCTCAGCTGTGTGGTTAAAGACATTAAACACCCACAGAACTGTTACCACTTAAACTCAACCCCCCCAGTAAATTTAAAATGAGGGGGGCTGTGAATACACTGTGTCAATAATCCCTTATCCAGAGCAGAGGGGAAAAGCAGTTCCAGGATCACCCCGAGCTGGATGTAACAGCAGCAACATCCTGCACAGAGCCAAGATGAAAAGTTGAAAGACAGAAAGAGGATAAATCTGAACTGGAGAGAGGATAAATCTGAACTGGAGAGAGGATAAATCTGAACTAAAGCTCTTCTTTTCCCCTCTGCCATCCCATTCCCACCAGTACACCCTGAGGTGTGACATGAGACGGTCTCTGCTGGCGAAGGACCTGACCAAGACTTGTGAGTTCATTGTCCACTCCCTGGTAAGTGAGATTTGGTTGGTTTGTTTTGTTTGTTTTTCTCCACTTGAAGTGAAGTTTAGAAGGTTAGAAAACCAAGTGAAACCATGGAATTTGTGACAGTGACAGGTGGGATCACAGAGGTGTAAAATCAAGGGATCTCCCGAGTTAGGAGGGACACAAAAAGATCATCAGATCCAGCTCTTGGCTCTGCACAGGGCACTGAGAGCACTGGCCAAAACATCTGAGTGAAGGAAGCAAACCCCAAAACAAACCCACCCCAAAGAGCTGGGCTGGCAGTTCTGATGAGAACAGCCCATTTCTTTCGGCTTTAAAGGAAATAGGACAAAGAGGATTCGGATTTGAAGAGGGTTTTACAGTGCCCTGGGTTTATTCTCTTATTCATCCTCTCAGTTCAGGAACAATGGGGTGGTTGGATAAATATGATGTCATTCCTCTGAGCACTGTTTCAAATTATCTCAGGAGTTCTCAGCCAAAGGTTTTGAGGCACCCACAGTGCCTGTCCTACAAATGGGGGTTTGGTGGGGGAGAGAAAATTCCTGATTTCTGCTCTTCAGAGGAGTAGCTGTGATTTAGAGCCCTGACTCCAGGAGCAAAGCTGGGACTGCATCAGGTTGGAAATCCCAGGATCAAGGCTGGAAGAGACCTTCAGGAACATCCAGTCCTACCATACTCACCCCTAATCCTTGTACCACATCCTGGAACACTTCCAGAGATTGTGACTCCACCACCTCCCTGGCACACTTATTCCAAGGCCTGACCGCTCTGGCAGGGAAAAACCTTGTCCCAAATACCTAATCCTTGCAGGGTGAGGTCTGAGTGTCTCCCAGGAAATGCTTTGCTGGTTGTTTGGAGTTCCTCTATCAGATTTGGGTCTGGTTTGTGTTGATTTGTGCCTGCCCAGAGCAGCTCAGGACAGCACAGACCTAATTAAACACCTCTTGTTCCACATAAAAACTTGCTGGAACATCCTGTTTGTGTCGTTCCTTTGAACTCCAGCAGGACACTGAATATGGGAATCTTTTGTTTTAGTTATGACTGGTGGTGGAAATATGTTATTTTAGTTCTGTAATGCCCTTTCCAAAAAGATTTAGTTTGGTGTTATAAACAGCTTTGTGGTGAGATTTCATTATTTACTGAAATACATTATGCTACATTTTATTGGTCCATTATTACATTATAAGTGAGCCCCACTTGTCAAAACAGTGAAAAATTACAGATCCTGCCGTTTTCCTGGGCTTATTTCTTGTTCCCACCACAGCACTTCTGAGAGCACAAGTCAGTAAATCACGAATCTCTCAGTCAGGGTGAATTAATGAGGTTTTACTGAACATATAATTCTCACTGTCAGTGCTCAGTGCACCATTTCCCTTAAGCTTCTCCTCTGCCAGAATTTGTCATTTTGGGAAAACACAGCCAATTTTTTTTTCTAATCCCTTCCATCTTGCAGCAGCAGCAAGCTGGGCAGCAGCAGCTCTTTGGAATTCTTAAGGAGTGAGGGCAGATCCCAGCAAAGAATTCCAGTCCAGCCCATTGGTGGTGGATAAGGAGAGGGAGGGAGAGTTTATGCAGCACGTTGGTCCTGCCCAAATTCAGTTTTGAAAGAAAACGTTTCCAGGGACGTGTAAAATGAAATTATTTATACACTAAAAAATGTGAAATTTAACTTTTTAAAATTTTTTTTCCCCTCTAACACACTGTATGCTTTAGCTAGGGAATGTATTCCTGCTTTAGATAGGGAGTGTATTCCTGCTTTTCCAGCTGGTTTGGAGCAGCCAAGTGTTGTGTGTTCTGATATTCTGGGGATGTTTTGGGGATCAGAGCTCCCAGGTTAACTCTGTCTGCCCTTCCTTGCAGTCCCAGAAGGGGAAGCTGCTGCCCAGCCCTGTGGACTTCACAATCACTCCTGAAACTTTGCAGAATGTTAAAGAGGTAAAGGGAGTTTCTGCTGTTTTGTTTTGAATGTAATGTTTGGGTGATTCTGGGGGAGGCCAGGGGGATGAATAAATGCTGTCCTGCAGATAATCTGTTCTTTTCACCCCCTTCTTTTTCACTTTTCTAAGCAATCAAGTGATTCTGCCTCATCTTTCACCTCATGAGAGGTAGAATTTTGTTCAGTAATAAATCATTAGATATTTGTATCCTTTTTCTGAGGGGAAGGAGGCAGTGGAGCAAGGGAAAACTATTTTATCTTATACCACATATAGCCAAAAGCCCTTAAAAATGTTTGTTTTGGTCCTTGGTTGTGCCTGTTTTTTACATCCTCACGTGGCTTTGGGAAGCCTGAAGGATTAGGTGGGATATTGGGAAGAAATTCTTGACTGTGAGAGTGGGGAGGGGCTGGGATAGAATTCCCTGAGAAGCTGTGGCTGCCCCTGGATCCCTGGGAGTGTCCAAGGCCAGGCTGGAGCACCCTGGGCTGGTGGAAGGTGTCCCTGCCCGTGGCAGGGGTGGGAGTGGATGGGCTTTAAGGGTCTCTTCCAAATTCTGGGATTCTATTCCTGCCAATCTCCCTCCTTCACCAAGAGCTTCCACCCCCTGGATGAGCTGTCATTTCATCCCAGGAAAAGTCCATCCCTTAGGAGGATGGAATGAGCAGGAAGGATGCAAGGCAAGGGAGAGGATTGCAGAGATACCCTAATGCAGATTGAAAAAAGATGATTTAAGCTCATTTCTGAACTCCTGAGTTCTTAACCTGGGAACTTTGGGGCATTTCCTGCCCATTTTGAGAACTCTCTGTAGGGTTTTTATTTTTCCTCAGTCTGCTCTTCCAGTGGTGCCTGGACTGGATGATCCTTGTGGGTCCCTTCCAGCTCTGAATACCCTTGTGATTCCATCTTTCCAGAGAGCCTCCCTCCCCAAATTCCTGATCAGAGGGCACCTCAATTCCACCAACTGTGTGATCACCCAGCCCCTGACGGGGGAGCTGGTGGTGGAGAGCGCCGAGGCCGCTGTGAAGAGCATCGAGCTGCAGCTGGTCAGAGTGGAGACCTGTGGTGAGTGTCCCTGGCCGTGGAAAAGGTAGGGAAGAACCCCCAGGAATTGCCCCCTTCACTATGGAATGCTGTGACAAGCCAGAGGGCATTGTAAAGCCCTTCCAAACCACGGTTTGCACTTCGCATGGAACGGTTGGGTTGATTTAAATAACTCCAGGAGCCTTAACTTGCAGCTCAAAGGACGTCATTCCCCCCAATCCCAGCTTTCTCTCACCTCTTCCCCTCTCCTTCCTCTCCCTGTGCCCCCTTGCCCAGGCTGTGCCGAAGGTTATGCCAGGGACGCCACCGAGATCCAGAACATCCAGATCGCCGACGGCGACGTCTGCAGGGGCCTCCCCATCCCCATCTACATGGTGTTCCCCAGGCTCTTCACCTGCCCCACCCTGGAAACAACCAACTTCAAAGTTGGTGAGTGAGGGGGACTTGATGCTCTGGAGGCCATTTCTCCATCAGGGATGAGTTTCCTGTTCTCCTTCAGCTCCTGGCAGGTACTGGGATGAGCCCGGAGCTGCAGGAAGGACTGAGGACATCCAGGTGTTGGTTTCCTTGGACAGGAATGCACAGGCTGAGAAAATGCAGCCCAGATATTTCCAGTACAAACACTTGAGCAGCCATTAAGCTACTTCTGACTAACAGAATTCCATGGTAAAGGGGCAGGAGAAATGGTGGAATGCAGGTCTTTTTTTTTTTTTTCCTGCTAAAAGTTGCACGTAATGAAACACTTGGATAATAATCCAAGAATAAAATTCCCTTTTTTTCTCAGCAGTGAGAACCTTTCTTTCCACTTCCTCTCTGTCTTGTTTCCCACTCTCCTGCTGGAAGCCCTGGAAGGTTGGTCTGGGTGTGACTTTGCTTTTCTTGACCTACACCACCTGCTCCTCCCCGCTGATTGTGGCCAAAATCCAGCATTTTTCTTCAGAAAATGAGCATTTTCCTCACTTGCTCAAATAATTACTGCAAGAATCACTTGGCTAGTTTCTGTTTCTTCCCTCCATCCAGTTGGAATCTTGGTACAGAATCTGTGTGCAGTGATTTTCCCCAAAATAATACTCTTATTTTTTTGCCATTTTTAGCTCTTGAATAGCAATTTAAATTATTTGTAAGAAGTATCTTTAAAAAAAAGGGGCAGTTATTTTCAGTTTATTTTGCTCTCTGCTTCCCTTCATTTATTAGCTCTGCCTGGCTTTGTCTTGTCTCCATTTGGGATTGATTATTGATCTGGTATTGGCTTTGAATGACACAATGTAGTACCTAAAGAGTGGATTTTTCTTCTGTGGAATTTTTGTTCCACAGTTTGCAGATCTGTGGTATTCCACTTTCATTCCCTAAGGCTGTGAAATGCTGCCAGCAGGGGAGGAATCTCTCCTGGGCTTTTCCCACTTCCATGCTTCCAAACAGCTTATTTAGGTGTCTTTCCCCAAACCATTTTGCCCCTTGATGTGTGAAATGTTTTGACTTTGTGTTACTGATAAATGAATCCAGAGGAATCCCAAAGATTAGGACAAGGCAGGAATTCTGGTCCAGGGTGTGGGATGAGGTTGTGGCCGGCGTGCAGAGCTGTGTGTGAGAGCAGGAGCAGCTCCTGCCCCTCCTCCTGCTGGCAGGATCCAGGTTCACATGGAATTCTCCTTTTTCCTTCCTCCCCCTTCTCCCAGAGTTTGAAGTGAACATCGTGGTCCTTCTGCACGACGACCACCTCATCACTGAGAACTTCCCCCTCAAGCTCTGCAGGATGTGAAGACCCAGCCCAGGATTCCCTGGAAAAGGCCCCCATTCCTCAGAGGAAAAGTGGAACTTTATCCACGCTGACAGCCCACCTGGACTTCCCAACCCAGGCAGCCTTGGCAGGTGTCCTCCTGCCTTCAACCACCCTGTTATCCCAAATTTTCCTCAGGCAAATCCTGAAGGAACGATGTTGCAGCTTTCTGCAACTGGTGTAAGTATGGAGGAAGTTTCTCTCCTTATTTAATTCCATCATATTTGTTCCAGAATCCTTTGAAGACCCCTTACACCTGTTGAATCCTGTTCTATCCATAGTGGGAGGGCATGGGAATTGTGATATCATGATAAATTGGGGTTCTGAAGGGTTAAAAAAATTGGTGCTGCAACACTGGGAGGTGCTGCTGTGGGACCACCCCTCAAGGTGGGGGTGAAATAAGTGAAGTGAATCCCAGGAAATTTGGGTCAGATTGGGAACATGAGAGGCTGCTCAGTTATAGGGTGTAATTCCAGGGGTGGCCCTGGTGGTTTAGGGGAGAAACAGCTGGAATTTTTATTTCAGTGTCTTACTGGGGGAAAAAAAGTGCTATTTAAATAAAGCTTGACACTTTGCCCTAAGACCAGGGGATGGCACAGGGTGATTTTTGGGAAGTGGAAGCCACTCTTTGTGGTGCCCAGAGCAGCACTTGCACCTCCTGTTGTCCCAAGGGATGTGGAAAGAGGAGCCCCAGCACCTGGATTAGGGCAGCTGCAACCCCTCCCAAAAAATACTGGAAGCTGAAAAGGGAGGCAAGTGCTGGAATTCCTCAGGTCTGGAATTATTTACTCACCACTCGCTCAGCAGAAATATTACACAAACCCCAACCCTGCATGAGCTGCAGCAGTAACTTTAATTTCTTATTCAAGTGCCAGTTAATACACTGATTAATCACAGAGTAGTTTAAAACTTCAGCTGGAGGATATTTAGCACTTGGAGGGGAACAAGTGATCCCTGGAATTAGCTAATCCAGTTAATGCTGCCTGGATTCAGACAACAGGCACATCTGACTTCCACTTGGAGATTTTCAGTCTCTACTCCTCAATTTTTGGCTCTTGGAGGCAAAGCTGACAGTGCTGAAGGTGCTCTGGCAAGCTCAGACTCTGCAGGCAGTGGGAAAACCATTCCTTGAGCTGTTTAAATCCTGCCCCCTCACTGGTCACAGGTGTTGCTTCAGCCAAAATAAAACTCCTGTCATTCCCGTTTAAATAGATCAGCTCTTCAACAGTGGGGGGAAATTCAAACCCTATTTTGAGGGTTTGAATTAAAGAATCCATTAAAGAATGGATTCCAGATCCATTCCCATGAACACTTTAAAATTTTTGCTTCAAAATATTACTGAAAAGCCAGTATTTAAACCACTTGAATTTAAGCAGAGAGAGGAGCTGCAGGGATGAGCTGCACTCCAAAGGGCCTGATTGGAATCCTGCAGTTCAGCTGGAATTGTTGATGCCACAGGAAGGGAATGTCTGGGCTCTTCCACTTCTGCTTTTGGGTCTCCTGTCTGTTTGATATTAGGATTTATTTGCAGCTCCCTCGTCACAGGAATTGTGCTCTGGCCTTTCAGATAAAACAGATTTGCTATTTTTCAATTAAATAATAATTTAAAAAAAGGCCAGTTTTGTGTGCTGCCAGCCCTGAACCACCTCAGCTTCCCACACTTAGGGAGCAACCAGGAAAAGGGCTGGATCTTGGATTCTGTGCCTTAATGCCAAGTGTTAAATCCCAGCTCAGCCCCAGCTCTGTCCCCACTGCCAACAAAACCAGAGGGCTGGGGCTGCTCCTCAGCTCTGGGGTTACTCTGCAGCCACTCTGCATCTTCTGATTGTGATGATGATGATGATTATTATTACAATAAAGTGATGAGATAAAGCCAGCACTAGGTGCACTTGTTCCATGCAGGAAGCTCAGGGAAGTCCTCGGGAAGGAGGGCGTGGACACGGCAGATGGGGCAGGTGCTGGAATGTTCCTTGAGCCACGTCCTGATGCACTGCAGGGACAGGGAGAGGGGGAGGAGGCAAAGGCTGGGGTTAGGAAAAAAATGTTCTCCAGTTCTAAGCCATTTATTCTGCAAGAAGAAAGCAGCAGGAAAGAAAGAAGGCAAAGGCAGGAACATGGAGTTACTCTGACATAACCCTGAGGTTTTTTACTCCATGAAGTCCCACTGTCAGGTGGCAAATGTAGGGATAGCCCAGTCCAAACTGCAAACAATCCAAAACTTAATTCTCTGAACCTTGAATCTCTGATCCCTTTAAATTCACTCTGATGATTTATCACTTTAAAAAAAAAGAAAAACCTAAAGCTTTCTGACACAGTAAAACCGGCTCTTAGGGCGAGTTTGGGGTACAAAGGATGGAAAAGCAAATTGTGCTTAAGCACTGGGGGGGGGGGGTAAATGGAGAGCTCAGAAACAAGACCAGAACTTACTTCTCTGTGGAAATGGTGCCCACACTCCAGTTCACACGAGTCCCTGCTCAGCTCGTCGTGACATATCGTGCAGGGATCCTCACTGGAGGCCTGCACATGGAATGCTCAGTTATCTGAAAGCCAATTCTACTCAGTCAATCAGTTTACTAACTTTACCCAGGTCTATTTTGTACACAAAATAAATGAGCCAGTTACTTTTTTTTCCCAGCAATACCCTGATTATTTCGTGTCCTGGACCAAGCGACGACTTCACCGGAGCAGAGGAAAACTTACTGTATCGTCCTGCTTCTTCCATTTGGCTTTAGGTGTTGCTCCAACATTCCCCCAGGGCTGGAGGTTTGGCTGAGAGGGGTTTTTATTGGAGGTGTTTTTAGGTGCAGGTCCTGCTCTGGAGGGACTGGGGGCGTTTCCTTCTGCAGCTGCTTCCCGACTCCGCGCTCCGGCGGGGGCCGGTGGGGCAGAGGCTCTCCCTGCTGCAGTTGGTGCCTGAGCAAAGAAAGGAGTCTGGAGTGAGTTTGGATGTGGAGCTGGACAGCAAAGGGCAGTTTTTGTTCTCTGGGGCTCTGCTGCTCTGTTCCCTCTCAGAGGATTCCCAGGAAGAGGCAGCAGCTCCACCCCCTCCGTACCTGGCTCTGCTGGTCCAGGATCAGCTCCGTCACTCGGTTCAGAACCTCATCGAGGCTCAGACCTGACAGGGTGTTCCCATTTCTTCTCTGCACCTCTCTTATAAAACCAGCGAAATCTGAACTGGAGGGACAGGAAAAACAAGGATCACTGACTGGCAACACAATACTGGAGGCTCCATGTTTGATTCCCACCAGAAGAACCTTCAAAACACCAACTTCTCCTGTGAACTGGAGCAGGTGCCTGTCCCAGTAACTCTTCCAACCAGGGTCTGCCTTCCTTGTAAAAAAACCCTAAACAAAAATCAGAATCCCAGAATGGTTGGGTTGGAAGGGACCTTAAAGATATCCCGTTCCAACCACACCTTCCACCAGCCCAAGTTGCTCCAGCCTGGCCTTGGACACTTCCAGGGATCCAGGGGCAGCCACAGCTTCTCTGGGCGACCTGTGCCAGGGCCTGCCCATCCTCCCAGCCAGCAATTCCTTCCCAATATCCCATCTAACCCTGCCCTCTGGCAGTTTGAACCATTCCCCCTCGTCCTGTCCCTCCAGGCCCTTGGAAACAGAACCAACTCAGTTCCTGCTGTACTTTCTCCCTGGCTGTGCAGAACTTGTTATTCCCATTAAAACAATCCCACTCATTCAAACCAGTACCTGCTGTAGTTTGGGAATATACTCTGGAGCTGTGCAATGATATTTTCCAGTGCTTTTGGAAGCTTTTTGTTGTTTGGAAGTGCAGGAGGCCTTGGCTGCGGAGCTGAGGCATCCTGGTGGCTCTGGGCTGGCCGAGTGTCACTCCCAGAAATCCCTGCTGGGTGAGATGAGGGGAGTTTGTTGGATTGGGATCCCTCTGGAGGCTGGGGATGTGTTTTCACGGATGCAGAAGAAGCCTCAGCAGTGGCAGGCGCTGCCTTAGCTCCAGGCTGGCTTCCAAAGGATGGCTGTGCTGGGCCTTGAGCTTCAGGACTGGAGAATGAGGGAAGTGGAGATGCCAAGGAATAGGTGACGATGGCTGGGTCGCTGACCGAGGGCCTGGCTGGCATTGTCTAGGAAACAAAACCACATTTCACAGGAAAAACACTGACCAAAACAACTTGGAGTTGAGCTCTGGAGCGTTTGCAGCCTGGATTGTGACCAAGGAACTGGAAGGGCACAGTTTATCTTAAAAACTCCTTGAGATCAGTGAAGTTGTTTGACCCCAGGACTGTTTTCTTTCAGGTTTCTCTTCTAAAAGGTTATTCTGGTCTTACTGTAGAAAATAAACAGATTCCAAAGGCAGAACAAGAGGCTCAAAAGCTGCTCTTTCCCAACCTGAGAATTGCTGGTGATTAAGTTATGTAAACACTGTGACAATAAGCAGAAAGGAGATACCCAAAAAAGAGTGGGGAAGGAAAAGTATGTAGGAAAAAAGGAGTGGAACAATTACTTGTGCAAGTCCAGAGAAAGTGTAGTAACAAATCTCAAATTTACAGTACCAGAACAGAGCCCTGAATCTAAATTACACCCAGAACAAACAAGAGAAAAAAATACATATAAAATATAAAAAGGACCAGCACAGGGTTCAGAAGAAATTGCCCCTGGATCCCTGGAAGTGTCCAAGGCCAGGTTGGAGCACCCTGGGCTGCTGGAAGGTGTCCCTGCCCGTGGCAGGGGGTGGAACAGGATGACCTTTAAGGTCCTTTCCAACCCAAAGCTGCTGTGATTCCATGATTTTGGTTGTACAGGAAAACCAGAATGTGTAAAACCATCTTCAGTTCAGTTTTAAAACAGCTTACACCTCTCAAAGCACACTGGAAGAACTGCCCTGAAAGGTGAGATACTCACTGGGACACTGGGAGGGGAGGGAATATCCGTAATTTCCACCTTGGTGAGGGAAATCTGGGCTCCATTTCTCACCAGCTCCATCTTCTCCTCATACTCAGCCTGCAGAGGGAAAGCAAACCATCATCCTCCACCTCAGCTCTGATTAAAGACCCCTCTTCATTCCACATTCACACTTTCCATTTGAACTTTGTAACAGAGAGTTCTCTGGTTGGTTGTTTTTGTTTTTTTTTAAAAAAGAAGTTCCACAAATTTCTAAAGAAATCCAAAAGAAGCAAGAGATCACACTTGTTGATGTGGGATCTAATTTTAAAGCACAGTGTGGGATCCAACTTTGAAACCTGTGGATAAAGGACAGATTTTTAAATAACCTGGACTTAAAACTGTGTCTTCCTTTTGTAATTAATTAAAAAAAAAATCCAGCTCAGTACTTGGGTGCTTTAAAAAAGGAATGCAAAGCTATTTAAGGTATTTATTCCACTTTAATTTCCAAAATTCAACTGACAAGCTTGCTAAGAGAAAGGAAGCCTTACCTCCACTTTTTCCAGCTGCTTCTTTACATTGGAAATAAAAGTTTCCCAGGAATCAATCTGTGACTTCAGCAAAGGTGCTGCTGAAGCTGAGCTGCTGCAGGATTGAAGATTGGCAGTTAAATTCCAGCATTCCCACTATTTTTCTTACAGACCAGTGGTGGTTGTACAAGTTTCTCCCT